GGGCAGGGGCAGGCTGGGGGTGGGGCAGACCTGAGCCCACCCCAACACCTTTCTGCTCCCTCCCAGGTGCCAGCCAACCCCCAGGATGGCGGAAGCGCACCAGGCTGTGGCCTTCCAGTTCACTGTGACCCCAGATGGGTTCGACTTCCGGCTCAGTCGGGAGGCCCTGAAACACCTCTACCTGACTGAGATCAACGCCTGGAAGAAACGCCTGATTCGCATCAAGGTGCGCCCCGGTGGTCTCCTGGCCTATTCCTGCCAGCAGGTGCAGAACAGAGCCTTGTAGAGGCGGGGCCAGGCGTCAGCTGCTGCTCTGTAGTCAAGGTCCTCCACCCCAAGCTTGGCTGGCAGTTCTGCTGAGGAACAGGCTCTAGCAGTGCAGAAACCAGAGGTGTGCTCAAGGTGTGGAGGGGAGACAGGTGTGCAAGAAGCGGCATCAGGTGCTGAGTAACCGGGTGCTGCAGGTATGGGGGTGTGGAGAAAGGGAAAACCAGGCGTGAAGTAGTAAGAACACAGCAGGTGACCAAAGGAGAAAACCCAGGCGAAGACCAGGACCTCACAGGTGCTTGCTTGCCGGTAAGCATGCCTGTTTCTGCTCCACAGAATGGCATCCTTAGGGGTGTGTATCCCGGCAGCCCTACCAGCTGGCTGGCTGTCGTCATGGCAACAGTGGGTTCTTCCTACTGCAATGTGGACATCTCCAATGGGCTGGTCTATTACATCCAGAAACACCTCCCCGAGAGGTGAGGAGCAGGGCCACAAAAGAGGCTGGGTGAGCCTCAAAGCCAGGGTTCCTCAGCTGGGCAGGCACAGGGCAATGGCAACTAGAGGCTGCAGGAGCAGCCCTCCCCTGGGCCACCATCATCTCAGTCCCTAGTCCGTGTGTGTGTGTGTGTGTTGCACTTAGTTGTGAGTGTGCCCAGGAAGGTGCCTCCCCCGAAATGGTTCACAGCGGTGGAGGGTGCAGGGTTAGAATTCCCCTGAGGCTGGCCTCCGTGCACCCCCTGCAGTCCTTTCCCCTCTCCCCTCCTGCGACAGGTATATCCCCTACCAGACCCCACAGACACGGGCAGTGGTCAGCATGGCCATCTTCTCCACGGGGGTCTGGATCGTGGGCATCTTCTTCTTCCGCCAAACCCTGAAGCTGCTGCTCTCCTACCATGGGTGGATGTTTGAGATGCATGGCCAGACCAGCCGCAGCACCAAAGTCTGGGCGGTGAGCAGAAGTGGTGGAGGGCTTCAGGCATCTGGTCTGAGACCTGGGCGCCCCCTTTGGGGCCCTGAGCTGGAGGGGACAGGCAGGGGGCACCAGTGCCTGCACATGGGTTTGTCCTAGTTCTGAGAGCTTGGGACTCAGCTCCTCAGGTGTTGGCTAGTTTGTTTCCATTCTTTCCCCTGGTTCCCAGCCCAACACACTCTGCTCTGCACCCCCAGGCCTGTGTCCGCCTTCTGTCCAGTGGGCGGCCCATGCTGTACAGCTTTCAGACGTCCCTGCCCAAGCTTCCCGTGCCCAGCGTGCAAGCCACCATTCAACGGGTAAGGGCCTGTGTCAGGCATCATGGTGGGCAGGGTAGGCTGGACTTGGGACTTGTCCCCTTCAAAGAGTGGATTTGGGGCTGGGTCAGAACAGGGTTGGACAGAAGCAGCCACTGCTGTCTGGCCCCCACACTGACAGTAACCTGGCTCGATAGTACCTGGAGTCTGTGCGGCCCTTGTTGGATGACAAGAAGTATCAGCGCATGGAGATACTAGCCAAGGAATTCCAGGACAAGACTGCCCCCAGGCTGCAGAAGTATCTGGTACTCAAGTCGTGGTGGGCAACTAACTATGTGAGTTCCCTTCTGGGCTTACTCTCACCCCCTTCATATCCTGGCTGCCTGCAACCTGCCCTCTACCCCAGCCCTAACCTCGCACCCACCCGCAGGTGAGCGACTGGTGGGAAGAGTACATCTACCTTCGAGGCAGGAACCCCCTCATGGTGAACAGCAACTATTATGCGATGGTAAGAGGCAGCCACGTGTCCTGAGCCCCGGTGGCCCTTTCCGCAGACAAGGGGGGATCCTGGGGTGAGGCCTGAAGGAAAGGGAAGATGGGAAGGCCCTCGGAGAATAGTCAGGAAGCAACTGAGGGGCGATGGGATACTGAGGGTCTGGAGGATCCAGCAGCCCCTCGCAGGGTCCCTCGGGCTCACTTCGCCGTCACTTCCTTCCTGGGTTCCCTCAGTGGCCTCCTGGCCGTGGTGCCATTACCAGGGAGTCCCTTGGACAGGCTTGCGTGGCATCTGTGGATCCAGAGCTGATGCTCTCAGCACTTGGGAGGCCACACTGGCCCCTATGTTGCATGACTAGCCCTTGTCCCACCCCAGCACCGGCCTGTGCACACAGCCATGTGCCCTCAGTGCTCTCCCACTGTCCAGGGCTCACCTTCTAAAAATATGTTTTTATTGGTTTTAGAGAAGAAGGGAGAGGGAGAGAGATAGAAACTTAGATGAGAGAGAAACATCAACATCAATAGGCTGCCTCCTGCACACCCCCTACTGGGGATCGAGCCCGCAACCCATGCCCTGACCAGGAATCGAACCTGTGACCTCTTGGTGCATGGGATGATGCTCAACCGCTGAGCCACACAGGCTAGGCCACAGCTCATTCTGAGTCGCATGCTGTCCTTCCCTTCCTCCCCACACCTGTCCTCCCAGAAACTCACACACAACTCATCTGTACCTGAGGTTTTAAGCTGTTTATGTTTTGTTTTGTTTTGTTTTGTTTTTAGTGGTGGGCCCCTTTCTCACGGCAAACTAAAAAAACACAAGCAAATAGGTTATGGGAAAACAGCTCAGGTCAGAGCTGGGGCCGAGGAGTGACGGGGTCAGGTGGGCATCTCATCTTTGGCAGGTTCACCTGACAGTGCGCACAGGATGGACTGGGGAAAGGGGACAAGATCCCCCAGGCCACGAGCAGGGAAACCAGGTGGCACCGCACACCTGTCACGCTGCCCCTGCCCTGCAGCCTCGGCTCTCTCTCGCAGGACTTTGTGCTCATCAAGAACACGGACGTGCAGGCTGCCCGCCTGGGAAACATCGTTCACGCCATGATCACATACCGCCGCAAGCTGGACCGCGAGGACATCAAGCCTGTGAGTTGTGTTGGGGTCGAGGGCTGAAGGGAGAGGAGGCCTTGTCTTAGCCATGCTGTGCCTCCCTCCTAGGTGATGGCACTGGGCATCGTGCCCATGTGCTCCAACCAGATGGAGAGGATGTTCAACACCACGCGGATCCCGGGCAAGGAGACAGGTATGGCCACAGCGTCTGTGGTGAGGCCATCAGGGAGAGCCCCTTCCCGCCCGGCTATGGGCCGCCACGGCTAGGTCCTGCCACCTGCTTGTCACCAGCACCCCCGCTGTCTCGGGGTGTAACTGTCAAGATGGCCAGTTTTTTTACCAAAATGAGCCGCCTGCTGCTTACAGGCATGACGCTAGAGCTGGGACCCCGAGTCCCCGCTGCAAGGCTCCCGTGCAGGGCAGGCCTCCTGAGTGAGGAACACCCAAAGGGGTGCTGCTGCCCTTGACTGACAGGGAGGGCAGCTCGCAGGGTTTGGCAGGGACAGGAGCAGCAGCCTGCGCTTCTGACACTGGGAGTCTGTGTTGTTTCCTCGAGCTTGGTTTCCTCTTCTGTGAAATGCCTCTGAGGACTGTTGTTGGCATAAACGAGAGGCATGGGAGCAGCCAGCACGGGCCCTGGTGGAGGGAGGGAGGGAAGCCCTGACGGAGGCCTGGCTCAGCAGGAGCCACATGGGCCACAGAAGGCTCATGGTGGGTGGGCCCCACCCAGGGCTGCGGGCAGGGAGGTGCTACCTGCCCACGCCCTGGCTCTGTCACAGACGTGCTGCAGCACTTCAACGAAAGCAGGCACGTGGCCGTCTACCACAAGGGCCGCTTTTTCAAGGTGTGGCTCTACGAGGGCTCCAACCTGCTCAAGGGCTCCAACCTGCTCAAGCCCCGGGACCTGGAGCTGCAGTTCCAGAGGATCCTGGACGACCCCTCCCCGCCCCAGCCCGGGGAGGAGCGGCTGGCGGCCCTCACTGCCGGCGGAAGGTATCCCAGTGGCATGTCTTCCTGGGGAGAGGGGCTTGGCCCAGTCACAGCCAGGTCCGGGGCGGGCGGTACCCTGTCTGCGGCCTGAGTGGCCCCACCCCAGGACTTGGAGCCAGAGGCATGACCGAGGAAGAGGCGCGCCAGGCACAGCATCCCCTGTGCAAACTGCGCCC